TTTTCGTTCGATATATATGATGGACGCAGCGCCTCATTTCGATGGTCGCATGAGGCACAGCAGCAACATCAACAATAACAAGAGCAGCCAAATCTTGCAGTAATAGGTCCGTTCGACAACAATCATCTCCACGTCGGCCCCGGCATTATTGTCCGGACCGAGCAGTCGTTTTCCTCCGAGAGGAGATCGACATACTTCTCCTTCTTTTGGTGCGGCACGAAACCGTACATTCAAGGTAAAAACGAAATACCTTCTCTGCTTGGCCGTTGTCGACGTCTGCTTGTGGCACAGGCTCTCATGGACATGGATTGCTAGCTTTAACCGGTTCACGTAAACAGGCTGAACAGGAAACCTGGGCGCACGCCCCAGCTACGATTCGTTGTTTTACACGTCTTGTTTAAAGTTACGTGCAAGCTGTGGTGGTAAGCCACGGGATGGTGGTGGTATGCCTTTTTATTTTGGTTACTACCATTTATGGTGCCCTTTTTTGCATCTGGTGATGGTGTGTTTTCAGTCACATTTGTCCATGGTCTCTTCCACTGTCGACATGTGTCTATATAGATTAGAGCTTCTTACCATGCCTCAATGTAGATACTGGAGGCCTAAACGAGAGTAAACCATACCAAGACGAAGAGACGAAACCGAACACAACAAATTCATGATGATCATCAAAGCCAAAGCCTTGGCCGCTCTGGCCTCAGTCATGGGCAGTGCATGGTAATACATAGGAGATCAACTTCACCAAGACACAAAACAGAAAATATACTGACCTCACCCGGCAGTGCTCTGCCAGAGGCCGCCAGAATGGCCGCTAATTGTCAGCCGTGCTACACACGAACCATCATCGTTGAGCAGCCGCTCCCAACTTGCCGGCCCAGTTTCGTTGAACCATTTCCGCACCAAGCCTGTGGCATGGTCTGCGTCAGACAAGCACAGGCTAGAGAGGTTAGACAGGCTGGAGAGGCTGACGTCGACACGGCCGCGCTTATCCCAACAATCACGATTGTCAAGTCCACGACAGTGACTGCCGCCACTGTCACGTCCACCATTCCCGGCATCAACGCGGCCTGCCCGACCACGAATACAGTTACGGTGACACAGTCCCGGTCTGGATACTCCGCCCAAAATCCATACAAGTTCTGCGGCCGCGCCCTTCCTCCAGACTGCAGCTGCGGTGGCGGCGCGCGGGCGACGTCCACGCTAGTCGAGGTACATACGGTCTCGCAGACGGAAACGGTCTTTGTCACCAAGCCGCCCATGCGGTGTAGACCGATTCCAACGCCCCCACCGCTAGACGGACGTGAGGATGTGTCGATGCCCCTCTCCACGGAGTGCGCGACGTACGCCACACAGTGGGAAGAGGTGCTGTGCTATGATGGGTCGAACCGCGCAGTCACTGCTGCTCCTCCGGCCCCTCTGGCAGCTACAACGGTACAGAGCGGCCTGCCTCTCACAACATATACAAGCGACTGCACGGTACACGTTGTATACCGGTCTGCCGAGTGTGGATCTTCGTCTCTAAGGTAGTGAGCTACGGGTGCATGCAGAAATTCGTTTGCAACATGACTTGTTATGGAGAGACAATATGCAAACGATCCAAAAAAAGAAAAAAAAGAAAAAGAAATATGGATCCAAAGTTTGTTTCATTTCTTTAAAAAAAAAAGCGTGCCGCGCATAAAAACAAAATTCACTCCTATAAAAAACATGTACATGACTTCAAAAATATGACAAGGGGTTATGTGGTGAAAGCAGTAAAAGGGGTTGTTGTTGGCCAAACAAAAGAGGGTCAAGAAGTAAAGTGTCAGAAAAGGAGAGGTTTGCAGCAAAAGAGGGAGGAAGAGACCACCGCGTGTTCTTTTGGTCTGCATAAATGACATTTACATGTCGCGGATGGACCCGACGCCGAGGAAGCGGCTGTTGATTCCGCGCTTGCGCAGGCCCGAGTCGGACTGAGGGAACGGATCCTGCGACGGGAAGTAGTTGTTCCAGTTGGTGCACTGCGTGTCCAGGGCCGACTTGTCGGCCGCCGCGACGCCGGCCTTGAAGTCCGTGGGGCGCTCCGCAAAGGTGACGGCCAGGCCGCCCGAGACGTGCCAGGCAATGTGGCAGTGGAACAGCCACGTGCCCGGGTTGTCGGTCTTGTAGGCAATGGCGACCCAGCCCAAGGGCGGGAGCATGGTGACGTCGCGGCGGACGGGGTTGTCGCCTTTGAAGGAGGCGACGTCCGAGGCCTTGAAGGGGGCAGGATTGTTGAAATCGGCCCGGCCAACGACCATGAAATCGTGACCGTGCAGGTGCATCGGATGCGCAATGCCAATGACCGGGTCGTTCTCAACAACCCAGAAGACCCACTGGTCCTTCTTGTCGACGACGACGACGTTGTCACTGTTGGGCCAGTCGGTCTGGCTGTTCAGAAGGTATTGGTCGACGGGCTTCTCCCAGCTGATAATCTCCTGCGTGCCGTTGACCTTCCAGGTGAACAGCTGGCCGGGTTCGGCCAGGTCGAGCGTCACGTTGAGCTCGTTGCTGGAGTCGGCAACGAAGCCCGAAACGGGGACAGTGCGCTTGACGACAGGCGTCAGGTTGGTCAGATCGGCACAGGTCGTCCTGGTGGCAACGGAGCCTGGGTTGGTGGGCAGGCCGCCAGCGGAGCCGGCGTAGTGGAAGACGGCAGCGGGAGTCAGATTGTCGGAGTCGCCGCACTGGGCGTTGGTCACGAACGTGGCGTTGAACCAATAGTTGCCAGGGGTCTGGCTGGCATCAATGGTGACGTCGTAGCGTTGGCCGACGCCGACGAAGAGCTCGTTCACCGTCATGGAATTGACCGGCACCAGGTCGGCAGCAACAATGGTCATGGTGTGGTTGGCCAGAGAGAAGACAAAATGGTTCTCAACAGAGATGTTGATGATGCGGAGCAGGTGGCGCTTGCCGGGCGTCAGGGTGACGTTGGCATACTTGCCGTTGCCGGTCACAGGGTGGACGTTGGTGCCGTTGAACAGGACGTTGTTGCTGTTCGGCGGCCCGTTGTTCTTGGTGTAGTCAACAAGGTAGTCGGATGTGTGGTAGTAGTAGTCGGACACGGGGAAGACACCGAGATCGATGTCGTACGGCAGTGAGGCCGGGCCGTTGATCTGGATGGTACCGACCACACCGTTTCCGTACTGGGCTGAGAAGTGCGAGTGATACCACGAGCTGCCGTATTGCGTGGCGAGGAACGTGTAGACGCGTGAATGGCCCGGAGGAATAGGGCACTCGGTGACGCCATTGACACCATCCTGCAGATTGGTGTTCAGCTGACGGATACCGTGCCAGTGCATGGAGGTACTATTTTGTTAGAATTTGGTGCTGCAAAATCAAAGCCACTTTTGGAACTTCAAAGAGAAGCTGCTCACCCGTTGGTCTTGAGGTTGTTGATGACCGTGATGGAGAGCGTATCGCCCCAGTCAGCAGAAATGACGGGGCCGGGTAAGGTGCCTGTGTTTTTGATTAACGAATGTCGATGCCAGATAGGGGGGGCCAATGACATAGTCTGGAATTATGGAATTATGCAATAAGCACATACCGTTGATCAGCATGACCAGTTCCTTGACCTCACCATCGGGGCCAGTCCAGTTCGTCTCCTCAGTAATAACGAGGGTATACTGAAAGTTTGTTAGCATGAACACAATTATAAATGTGAAAAGGTGCTTGCAAGAGTGTAGAGGGTGTGGACCGTCGACATACGTGACGAATGAAGTTGGTGACCGGCGTGCTGACTTCGTAGTCGGTGCTGATGTTAAAGCCATTGGTCCAACAGGCACGGTTGGACGGCGTGTTGCACGTGGACGCACGCGCAACGAGATCGGAGGCATCGTCGAGCCGGCCACTGGGCGCAGCGTGGGCCAAAAACACCGATCCAAGCAGACTCGGCACGACGGCCAGAGCAGAAATGAACGACCGCATGGTGGCGGCGATGGTGGTGAGGATGATGGGGAGAAAAAAAAGAGTAAGTGGGTGTAACGAGTGTAGCCAAGTAAAGAATAGAACGAAGGACAATAAGGCTGGCCGTGATGGGCCTTGCAGAAGCAAAATTTGTCGAAGCGCGCCGAGGGCGAGAGTGTGATGATCCAACAATAAGACAAAGAGGTCAAATGATAGAGTGGATGTGCCCGTGTTATATACTCGGGACGGGCCTTTCAGAGAAAAAGAGGTTCAAAGCCTCAGCTGTAGACCATGTAAAGTTGCAGTCCTTGCTGCAGAGAAGGCAGTGACGCTATCCAGAATTAGGAAAATGAAGGGCGTCGAAGTAGACAAGGTAAACACCGAAGAAGAGGTAAGGAGACGGGCCAGCCAGGCAGACTGTCAACCCGGACCCCCCTCTTTCTTGATCCGCATGGTACCCATAGGCCGCTTGCATGCGGCTGGCATACATGTATCTGACCGCACTCCATCGCACGTGGAAAGATGGCCTTGGAGCTTATGGTAGCAGTCGTATACGTGCCTCTCCATTCTCTGTTCTTCGTTGGTTATTTTTGTGTCCTTTTTCGTCTCCCAGGCCTTGCCCTTGATACCACCCTATGCACGAACGGAAATTGCTTCTTGTCGTGCGTTTAAACAAAAGCGTGGAAGTCTCCTTGAGATTCCTTTTTTTTTGGGACTCTGCCTCTGTGACGGCTTCGTCATTAGGACCGTCTCAAAAACGAAACTTTAATATCCTGGACAAATGCCTCTGGCAAGAGGGCCGCACGTACGAATTCACCCTTCACCGTCGACACCCACGGTATGAATGAGAATGTCTAGATGCAAGTGTGCGTGTGGCATCCCAGCCGACCGCCAAGGGGATGTATGGCGTGAAAAGGGTAAGCTTGTGCCCTACTGTGAGATAAAAAAATATAAAAAATATAAAAAAATATAAAAATAAGGAGAAAGACGGGAAATGAAAAAAGGAGATGGACAAGGAGGGTGAATGTGACATCTGAATGTGCCCAACGAGACGAAAATAAACCAGTCGACCGAAGATAATGACCTTCAAGACGTCGGGTAGGAATACGAAGGGAGACCAGGCAGCCAAATCAGCCAGATCCGAGAATGCGAGAGACGGTTGCGAGATGGGGGTCAATGGTCAGATGAACATGGCGAGTGAGGGAATGAACATGCTAACGACAAAACAGAAAGAACCTCACTTGTGGATACCAGTGAACACCGCCATCAAGGACGGAAGCATCGGAGACGGCACGGCGGGCGAGGAAGATGCCTTATCCTCCCACATCCAAACCCTTGCCAACATACCTAGTGGTGAAAAATGCGAGGAGGAGGGATAGGACAAGGGAACCGAGGATGCAAGAAATCGATAGTTTGATATTTTGAAGACGGGATGGCAACGAGAACTGGACGAAAACGACCAAAACGAGGGGTTTCGTGATGCAAAATGGGACGAGAAACGGGAACGACGAAGGTGGCCGTCGGAATCGGTTCCCATGGTGCCGGTGAGATGTCTCGTCGACGCTGAAAAGGTTCGTTTGCCGCCAAAATTCCTGGTCCATCATGGCCCCCTACCCGTGCCTGCAGCTTGCACCATGTCGTGATGGAATACAACGAGATGCATCGAGGGGCTGAAGAGGGCTCAGCTCCGGCCGCTCCCTCGTTCGAATTTGTTTTGGGATATGTACAACCGGGGACAGAATGTGGAGATGAGTGTCACGACGAACGGGGGCGGCTTGAGGCTGCACACGGGATAGAACTGGTGGAAGGAATGCATGAACAGTCGAAGGGAAAAACGGCACGTAGAATAAAAGGGAAAAGATGAGATGGAGGGCTGAGGCCCGAGAGCTGAAGTAAGGTCATGACGACACTGGAGGCGAACAAAGTACGGAATTTAGAGGCGAGGTGCGGTTCAGGATAGAGTTACCAGGGACCAAGGAGCGCCGAGCATGGAAGGGGGTCTAGGAAGCACGAAGGGAGGTGCGGCTTGCTGCAAGAAGAACGAAGGACAGAGTAGGTTCGGGTGACAGGTCGGGATCGTTACAGAAGGTATTAAGATAAATGCTGCAAGAGAAATAAGGTAAGAAAAAAACGGGATAAAATCCTGGGGGGAGAGAACAAAATTAAAATCGTGCAGTAGAAAAATAAACACAAGAAAATCATAACACTTGGTACTAACGCTGTTTGCTGTGGTTCGAAACAAAAAGTATTTCGTAAACGCACACAGACCACAAGCACCCCTGGTCACCAGACTGTACATGGCCAAACTGCCTAACCAGGAAAAGAAATTGTGGCTTACACGAAATCGGACGGACGCGCAAAAGAGATAAAAAATATGGGGCCGACAGCGCAAAGCATCAAGCCATCCCCTATTTCTTTGTCGAGCCGTTCTCGTCATAATGGTTCGCATGCCAGACAAACCAATTGGTTGGACAGGAAGATGAAAGGGACAGCACATTTGAGGGTGTCATGCTTTGTCTGCGCCTCCCAAGAGGACGAGAACGCACGGAAGGCACGGGACAATGACGAGAACTGCAGGGAAAAGGGAGGGGAACACAGACGAAAAAAAGGAGATGATGGGTGGCCAACCGTGGAAACCGGGTCAGAAGCTGAGAGTCGGTAAGAGTGACCGGGAAAGCAAAGCGAAGAGTAAAGCAGAGAACGAGAACGCCACCGGGAGCAAACAATGGCGAGAACGAACAGAGCAAGTCGGCAAACACGGTCAGTGATGTGAGCACCGGTGAATAGCCCGTAGATGATGCTTGGCATGATAACAGCAGTACAGTAAGCATCAGGTCCAGAAAAATCCACAACGATCATCGCCAACCACTATGGCTGGTGCAGACCACTATACGCAAAATGTCCCAATAAGCAAGGTATGGCTAGGCCCATGACAGAGGCAATGAGACAAGTGAGATGAAAATGGCTGACGTCTTAGCAAAGGAGGGCAGCACCAACGCGGCAATCAAAATTAAAAAAAAAAAAAATATAAAACCGAGCATAACGCGAGATATCCGGTCATAAGACAGAAAAACGCCATGGACGCTCTCCCAGGCTGTGACTCGAGACGTTGGAGGAAACTCTCCGGTTTGAGTTGGCCTGGTAAGAGGTATTGCCCGTCATTTTCCGCCGCCCACCAAACACCTGCCGCGTCCTCCGCCGAAAGAGTGCGCTCGTACGGGAGAGGAGAAGGAATAGGAAATAAACACCGCTCCCGTATTACGTTTCTCCCATTCGTAGACTGGTGCGAGGGTCGCTGTCGGCTTCCCGGTACTTGGTTCTTTGTTGCCTTGTGGTGATCTCCCGACCTCATCTATTAGAGTTTGTGGAGGGTACTGGAGAATAAAAGTGACCTGCGGAAATTAATTAAACAGGTCATAAGGGAACTTCCGAGCGCCCCAGGTCGATGGGTCAGATGACCCGCTAAGCCCAGGAAGACGGGACAAACCAGGTAGTTTGTTCTATGTGAAACGCTTTCTTTTGTTTGCACGGGCGAGGGAGGAGGGCCTTCGAATAGGACACACTTGTCTTAAAATAATCGCCAGTTGCGTTTGGTAAGGATCTCAGGCCGTGGAAGAGTACCGTGGTCCACGATGTGGCGTCCATAGTCATTTGGTCAGGACTGGCCAGTTCCTTGTTCTCAAACAAGCCCGCCCAATAAAGAGTGAAGAGAGTGAGAAAGGGGGCAAGAGGTGAGTGTGCTGTGCCGCGAGGCTGGAGAGTCAGTGCCCTGTGCAATAATTACATTGTCCAGGACTCGGTCGGGTCCACAGCCACGGCCAGGCGACATCAGCGTTGGAAAGTACATTTGAATGTGACAGAGCAAGGTGGAGTGAGAAGTACCGAAACGGCGTAAATACGAAGACTCAGCTGAGTTCCACTTGCCGATCGCAGTATGTCTTACCTGTGAGCTTTGCACATGAGGGGACAGCTGGCTGTAGCTAGGACCTGTGCACACCGCATCGTTTAGAAGAACGTAGGAAAGCGAGAGCCTAGGAGTCATGGCATTGGTTCTGATTTCTGACCCTCGCATTCTTGATGATTGTTTTTCCACGGTGTTCTGCTGTTCTCCGTTTCCATGTCCCTCGATTTCTTAGCCTCTGCTGTGTTGTCAAGATAAAAAAAGAAAAGACACGGGAAGGGGTGAGCGATATTAGCCAACCAGGAGCTTCGTAGAAGCGGTGACGGCAGAGGCGCATGGAAGTCATGCAGCCAACCGGGCATCCACATTAGCAACTGTAAGTACTCTGAGTCGCTGCTGGTAATTCTTGTAATGGATCGAACCGGATTCGCCTAAGCTCTTATTGCATCATGTATGAATCGTTCGTTGACATATGTTCTGACATGACACAACACCACCTTTCCCTCCGCTGTCAAACTGTCGTTCTGTATTGAATTTGAAGGCCCGTCATCTCTGAGGTCAGACTGGCCGGCTCCTGTCTGCATATGTGCTGACCACAGAGACAAATCAGGATCTTGATGGTCAGTTCTACCGCTGTGGAGGTGGCTTGCTTGACCCGCTTTGTCTTCTGGGAGGCCACAGCGTAAACACGGCTGGGAAGCTGCAAGGACGTTCTTGGCACACCCCGCCAAGTGGACTGTCTTATATGGGCAGAAAGCCAGAAGGAAAGGGGAAAGAGGAACGAGGACACAGCAAATGCACTTGATGCAGTTGCAATGCAGCACCTGTGGAGATGCGTGTTTTTCGGGGTCGACGGTGGCATGTTATTTGCCGGTTGTTGGTTGGGATTCCTCGTTCTCGAGGGCTTGTATCTTGTTTCACGTCCCTTTCCGACTATAGTTTGTATTTGTTCGTTTGCTCCGTTGCTCGTTTCTCGCATTTGTTTCCCTGCTTTTCGCTGTGGGCCCTGTTGTTTCCAATGGAAGTGTCCTGTATGGGCGCCGCAATACCCGATATGCACCTCAACCGGCTTGTTCTTGGAATACGGCGTTCCAAAATCCCAACACGAAGGCTTCCACCCCCCCTTCACTCTAGTCGGAGAACGGGAAGTGGGCATGCGACGTTGCCGATCGAAAGGCGGAAAACGAAAATGGGCTGCGGCAGGCTCGTAAGCATGATATTCGCGGCTGCTATTCGATGAACGAAGATATGGCACGTCGCAGGGGGTCCCAGGAAATACGCCAGCCCAAATACGGGATGTAGCCGTCGCGTATGTTGTAGGCCTTGCACAGTTCCGCAAAAGGTGAAAGAGGTCCTTGGGAGGTCAGACAGTGGAACGCACAGAAGGAAAACGAAATTGCAGGGACGACGAGCTGCTCGAAACAGTTGACAAAATCGTGCCAAAATTGTTCATGGTGCATCCAAAGCTAGTAGGATTCCAGGAGTAAGAGAGACGGGATGCAGTAGCAAGAAGCACAGATAGGTAGTACCGCGTGCATCACAGCAAGTAAACGTGTGCGAAGCATAAGTGCATGCAGAGTAGAAGCAACTGGGGACATCCCTGCCTTCTTTCTGTTGGGTCGTTGAGAGAGACGTGGCTCAGACGGTACATGGAATTGTGCCTTGGCTGTTTTGCGCTCCCGTGTTGTGTATTTGTTACATTTGCCCACACTCCTTCAACCTCCTCTGCAAGGAACAGAACCGTCATCGTATACTTCGCTTTGGGCATGGGGGTAACGAAGATGTTTGAGAAGAGAAAGGACGGGATGGGGGCGGCGTGGGAAGGTGAAGGGCCTGGTCAAGCCGCCCGAGGAGGTAGTGCTGGGCACCACAGACAACCCCCCCTGTCTGGCCCGAGCTGTCACGCCTCGCTAAAATCCTTCCATCGGATTCCCATCGAAAATCATCAGTCGCCTCGTCACTCATAACTGCATTTGGATTTCTCAGCTTTCGTTGGTGTTGAGCTTGTTCGTATGAGGTTGTCCTCACTGCTACTCTGCATGTCTAGCCTGACGGCACCTTTCGGTACGCGAGCTGGGTGGGGGCTTGGCTTTGCTGTCAGTGGAGCAATCTCAGCCAGCCCTAGTGGGTGCAAGCATGGAGAAACAACGAAGATCCGGCTGTTGGCCGTTAGGTTGACCCTGGCGCTTGGCTAGGGTGGCAAGGTAAAGCCAAACTTGACCTAGCGGCTAGAGGGGGTCAAAGCGCGAGAGCACCCTGTTGTAAGTATGACCCAGTATGACAGGTGTAATAGGGGCGAACTGGAGCTGAGCAGCCTCTGCAGCCAATTGCTGCACAATATGATATCCGGCTGTTGCATCAAAAGTCGGGCAGTCAGTAAGATGGACGCCGACTGTGGGACTGTAGGTGGCGTGGGGTAGGACCTCGCTGGTACCTCGTAAACAATTCTGGCCCACTGAGCCCTTGGTATTCCGTATT